TTCCTTATCTCCGTTCCCCACCTGCTGTAAACTGACCTTTGCTACTTGGAGATTAAATCTTGCTGTCCTGGCTAGAATAGATTTATTAATTATATTTGAGAGATGCCTTCAAGAAGTTAAGAGCTTTCATCTTTCTCAGTGTGGAATAGGAAATATTACAAGTTGTGTTTTCAGTCAGGTAGCTGCCTTCACTTCAAATCATCATAGGAACACAAAGGGAGAATAAAATGTGTTTGCATCAAAATAAAGACAGGGAGTAAAGTTTGATTGAATCTAGGAAGAGTCTTATTCTCTACAGAAGACTCCATTTGGCATTTACACATCTGAATTCCTTGACCAGGTGGGAAGGGGATGGTTTTACACTTACTGGCATGAGCACAGCAGCAAGGTAGACTCTTTCCTTGCAGCAGTGTTAAATCCCTGATGTTGCATACACCAATTACACAGCCAGAACCAATCCGACATTTGCTGCAGCAGAAGGGAAATTAGATTTTGTTCTTGGATCCTGCCCCCTTCCTGAATATTATGAGTCTTTCTTAAATGTTTTGGTCTTTTAGAAAAGAGGTTCTTAAACTTCAAGTCAAAGTTCTGGGGAACCAGCAATATAATTCTGTTCACAAAGCAGTTATTTAAATGTCTTGCTGACTTCAGACCAAAATGTCAAAGTTGGAATTCTTACAAAATCTGCTCCTCTTATCTCTGGAGGGGAAGATGAAGCAGAGTTGACTCACTGAAAATAGGCAGCATCTGGGACATTTCTTCCTCGTTTCATTTCTTGTTACATAAAGAAAGAGGACCTGAATTTAGATGGCAATCTTCTTGTTTCTACTAAACCATTTCTACTTTTCAATCTCCATAGGCCTCTTAGTGAAACTAACCAGTTGGGATCAAATACTGTATTTGAGAATTTATATTCTGTAGTCTGGGCTCTCTTGGGACTTGCAGCTCTGTCTCTCTCTTGTGTGGCCACTGCTTTGGGAGGGCCTGCACTGGAACAGGCACATGGATATTACTCAAAACTTAAGAATAAGTGGTGGAAGTTCAGTTCCTAAGCACAACCACATCATGCCCTACTCTGTTCTTCAGAGGACTGTGTGTCCTTGAACTCTGTGGCTGAAAGGAATCTAAGGTGCAGGAGGGATGCAGAGGAGTGTTTAGAATTATCACAAAAGCAAAAAATTATCTCACTAGGTAGAGTTGCAGGTGTAGCCCCAGTGCAATCTTGATATTAGTGGTTTAGCTTGGAGGCATCCACTAAGGGCAGAAGAGTAAACAGTCTTGTACCACAAGGATTACAGATGCAGTCTTATTCCAAGAGGTGTAAATTATGTCAGCAATGAATTTTTAAGCCTTTTGGAGTGAGGTAAGTTAGTAAATATTTGTTACAAGGCAGATTGTAGTTTCAAAATTAACTTCAAAATTTACTGGTCAAATGTGAACTTTGAATTTTTATTTCAATTTCATCTCATGCATGCTCTTGTCAAAGTGATTCACTCAAATTCTTCTTTCATAGCTGGTCAAATGAGGTGACTGTTCTGCTGGTGCAGCCTCACCTTGCGCCCTCTGTGCAGTTTTGGTCATCACAATATAAGAAAGATGTAAAGCTATTAATTAGAGAGCATCCAAAGGAAGGTTAGGAAGATGTTGAAGGACCTAGAGGGAAAGCCCAGCCAGAGGGTGGTTGGGCACTGGAACAGGCTTCCCAGAGAAGTGGTCACAGAGCCAAGCCTGCCAGAGTTCAAGAAGTATTTGGACAACACCCTCAGGCACATGGTGTGATTGCTGGGGCTGTCCTGTGCAGGGCCAGGAGTTGGACATCGATGATCCCTGTGGGTCCCTTCCAACTCAGGATATTCTATAATTTTGTGATTCTATGAACTCTTTAATGAGGCTTCATAAGCCTTAAGTAAGTAGCAGGCTTATGGGTATGATAGTAGGTGGTACCAATATATATTTTGAAATGTGAAGTCTGATGCCATTTGGTATTAATAGTGGCTACCAGATTGGGGAAAAGTTCAGATTCTGATAGTGAAGTGGATTCCAGTACATAATTGAATAGGAAAACTGCCAGCTAGAGTGTTCAGATAGCTATTAAAAACCAGTAAAGGACTGAAGTAGCAGATTAATTTGCAAAAGTAAAAAGCCAAGATGAAAACTTAAGATTTTACAGTTTCATAAACTTATACTCAGAATTTATGTATAGGATTGTTAGTGACTTGCCATAGTTGAATAATTCTTTTTTTATTTTTTATTTTTTTTAAAAAAAATCAAGTTTAATTACACATGCAGTAAAACCTAAAAAATAGCATGGTCTCATTTTGGCCACTGTATGAAAGCTGAGTAATCTAGTTATAAATGTTTGTATGAGTACATTGAAGTGGTCAACAGGGCAAAGTAAAAGTACCAGAGTACCCCATTTCCTCTTGGCAAGAAATAAATAGATGAGATGAAAAGCATTTTCAGAGTGGGCTGGATTACACCATGTGCTATGGTGTATCAAGCAAATGTGTGGGCATCTTTCTTGGACACCATTCGACGTGTGTTTCTGAATTGCTTATTTAGCTGCTCGGTGTGTGTGTGCTCAGAGATGCCGTGTATTATACACTGCAGGAGTATTCAGAGGTGTTGGATTAGTGCTCTCAGTTCTGCACAGAACAAAGTATTGCAGTACAATCTTGTCTTGAAAAGGTTAAAGGCCCTTCAGGGCTACAGATTTTGTATTTGTTTTTTAAAAGTAAGCCACAAGTTTATGTTGCTTTATTCACAGAAAACAGGTCCTCTGCCTCTTCAACCGTTGTAATTTCCTTGATTTGTTAGGCGCACTGGCAGGGTGGGTGTCAAATTAGTTGGATTTTAGTTTATATTCTGAATAAATGTCTAGCAGTTTTGCACAAACTTAAAATTAATATATAGGTGGAAATGCTTTACCCACTTAAGACAGTTTGTAGTACTATTATACTCTGAAAATGTGCTTAGACTCTGGATATGAGAATGGTGGTTTTTTTCAGTGAAACTAAAGAAAATTCATAAATGAGAAGCAGGCTTGCACTCACTCACTTGGCCTCTCTGGCACCATTGTTCTAGCATCCCTTTATGACCAGATTCGAATGGAGGAATTGGGAGCATCCCTGTCCAAGCCTATGCAAGGGTTCTGCCTTGTAAGCTGTGCCATGTAATGGCAGCAGTGGGTTCAGAGGCAAACTCAGAAAAGTCTTAAACTCAGACCTTTATTGTAAAATCAATCACTGTAGTAACCAGGCAGTTATGCAGAAGATGCCTTCCACCTCCTTCCTGTACTCACCTCCACTGTGGGTGCTGAGGGGATGTAGCATCCTCATTGCAGCAGCTGCATCGAAATACAGACAAGAATGCTACTCTTGATATTCTTTATTCTGAAGAGAAAGAGGCTCTGTGTCTTTTGGGGGTCTGGGGAAGCTACACATACATCACATTAGATTTAAGATAGTGATGCTTTCTTCTGTCTTCCTGTGTCAGCAGACAAGCCTCTTTTATAGATCTTGAATTATACATAGCCTGCTTCCACCTCGTCACCTAGCTGTCCAGCAGGAAGTATTTCAGAGGTGGGATCAAAGCTCAGTCTCTCTGGCATTGCAGACTGTGCAGCATTAAGACTCCTGGCTGCAGGAGCAGTGCCCCCATAGAGACAGGCCATGCACATCTGTCTTATGTAGATGACCAGCTGATCAGTGACAGGCACTGGCAAGCAGCCTGGAATAGGCTTGCTGTTCATCCAGGTGATTCTTCTACAGAATCATATTGAAACAAAGAGCCAAAGTTAGAGTCACAAACAATGGAGTTCATAGGAACTATGACCAGTTCCAGGCTAGTGAACACTTGCCCAAAAATGGAGTACTGTCACTATGATTGCTTCTATATGAGATAAAATCTAATCCTGCTACTATGGTATGAACATGCCTTGGAGCATTAGACCATATGTCAGCATGCACATGACATCCAATGCCAGCCTTCAGCTGTGGCTCCTATAAATTTGGCTGAAGTCCATGTGCTTCCCATAGCGGAACCAGATGGACAAGAATATTTTGTCATCTCATCGTGTCCTCATGGAGTTGATATGGTGGCTAGAACTTGAAAAGCCCAAGGAAAGGGACTGCTGATTCCTATGTCCCACCTTCTCAGATTCTGGGCACTGGCAGAGATGCCCACTTGGCCTGCAAAGAGGTGTGAAATGTCTGACCATGAAAGCTGTGGGACTTCATCTCAGCATCCTAGAACTCAGAGCCAAAGCACTTACAGTGCCTGAGCAAACGGTATTCATCTCATATCTCCGAAAACTCACGTTACACATTCTGGCAGACACCTCCTCCATTAAAAAGAAAGGAACAAGTGAACCATGACAACTCAAAACTGTTGAAGCCTGGAAACTGCTCGGAAATAATAATTGTGTGATGGACTTCAGTTACTGTATCACTGAGAGTCAAGCAGAGGAATAGAGCCGTGTGTTTTTCTTGACAGCGCTGTCATAATAACAAAGGATGTTATCCCAACTTTGTTCCAACGGGAGTACAAGTGCAGAATTGTTTCCCAGAAATCGTAATTCTACACTGGAATACAGTCTTCCAGAACACCTTTGAACACATCCTGGGGTTTGTATGGTTTGCAAGCTGATGGGGAACATCCCCTGGTCCTTACCAGCTGAGACAGTTTGGCTTAATAAATTACAAATGCCCATCAGTCTCTGATTCATTCCCTAATTTGCCAGCTATAATTTAATAGCGTCTTGATGAGCTAATTCACTCAGATACAGTCTTCTGGCAGTTCACGGCCTTGATAAACACTAAAGGTCATGTCTGGTCTAGACAAACCCCAGGCGAATGTGGAGCAGATAAGGAGGATGATTAAAATACAAACCAGTGGTCTCAAGGAAAGAGGACTCTCAGGCAGTTGGTACAATGTGGCCTTGCCACCAGGAAGCTTCACCTTTATGGCAAATGCCAGCTAGGAGAAATAAGACCAAAAAGCTAAAATATGTAAACAGTACCCATGTTTGTATAGTCTGTTGGAGGAGAAGAGGAATTTTGCTGCTAAGGAGGCAAGGAAAGAGGTAATTATAATAATCAAAATGGGAGACAAAGAGCTCTTGCATGTAGCTGTCAGGCCAGAACGAAAGGACAAAAGTTGGATGATTGCTGGGTTGCCGGATGATTAGAGTGATATTGTTGTATTTGTGACTATTTTGCCTAGTATGAGCATACGCAGGGTTTATTGCTTGTTATTCTGATAGCTGTACGTACTGCAGCTCCCATTCAGTTCCTGTCTGTTTTCTGTGCATTGAAATTGAATTTTATGAAAAGGCTCGTTTGAGATCTATGAGAGTCACACACACACACACACACAGGTAGGTAGTTGCTCAGCTTTTGGCAGGAATACTGTTTCTTTCTCCACTCAGTTCAGAGACATGCAAGTCAGATTAATGTCTTTCTTCAGATTTCGTTAAGGTTCTTCAGGATGTTTTACCATTTAAGCTTTCATTTTTTAAATGCCTAGCATTCTGAAATGGCTAGCATTTCTTCAGGATAAATTGACACCTGATTGTCTTCTTGAGTATCTCATAATTTGATGTGAAGAGGTGCAACAGTCCTCTCTATTACACAGATGGGTGGGGCTCTCCTTGAGACTTTTATTAGAAGTTTTAGCCTCCATGGCATGAACACTAATTGCAGCACATAGCTGGATCTGTAGCTTTGAATTTTATTCTGGCAAAAATGGAGTCTTGTTTGATTCTGGAGGGAATGGAATGAGAGCTGATAAGGAGACTTGATTACAAGGGTTTTTTTTTTGTTTTAAGCTTCTGTTCGTTTTGCTCTCTAGTGTTAGCATCAGCTATTTTTTTCAAACATTTTTCTCAGTTACAAACTGTTTTCAAGCTTATATCTATGTTGGCTTATTTTTCTTAAATAATCCAAAAAAACACCTCTGCTAATTTTGTTCAGCTGCTCTAATGATCTGCCTAGGTGCCAATTCTAGACCTTTCAGTGTGTATACACTCTCCTTCTGTGTGCTGATGTTTCTTCATGTTTACCTGTAACTGAACTTACTCTTTCCTCTTGAGAAAACGCTGGATTGATCTCTGTGATTGTTTACAGATACTCCCATGAATAAGCTTTCTCTGAATGTTATTCACTTTATTTATCTACAGTAGTTTTGTATAGAATAATCTAGTCCGTCATTGTCTTCTGCTTTAAAAGAATTCAAATCAGCTATAAATTATTGTGCCATATTTGGGGTTTGGGGGTTGGTTGGTTTTGGGGTTGTTTTAGTAAGTTTAATCTGTAAACTAAGCCACATTTTTTCTGCAGAGAACTTAAATCTGTC